TGAAAGGTTATGGGTCATCGTTTATGGTAATGGGGTGTGAACAAACAAATTAAGTCAAAGTGTGAAGAGAAAAATTGGATTTAAGCAGCAATCATAAAACTTTAGTCTTTGAGACTTGATCTTGAACACTGCCCAGCCAGGAGCCTGGGAAACACTGGGTCCAGCTCAAAGCCACCATGTCCCAGGAAATACACAGCCCACAGCCGTGTTCTGTATACTGATGGAATGCCAAGGTTATTCTGTTTTTTCTGGCTTACACAGGAAGCATTTATTAGAGCAGGAGCAAGGCTTGCTTTGCCATATCCGAACAGGCAGAGGGCCAATGCTGAAAAGAACTATTTTCCCTTAAACTGCTTTCAGATAAGATTTTCAGAAAAACCACTGAATTTATTCCCATTGGCCATTTCCAAGAAAGGTTAAGTGACTGCTGGAGAACACACCCTGAATTAATTGCACTGTAAAATTAGGTTCCAAGTCTCATTTTTCCTAAGGTGCAGGAGTTTTCGGCTTCTACATGAGAGGAGGCAATAGGAATGGCATCTGGATTTCTCGGTCAACAAACAATGTGTATGGTCCAGATTTTTCCCTTGCCATAGTATAAATACTTTTAAAACTCTGAAGTTCTAACAGGTTGTACATATTTACCTAAGGAGGAGAAGAGTGTCCAGTGACTGTTTTTGAATAATTTAGCAAGCGATTGCTTACTGGTCTCTGCTATGCCTCACAGACACTATTTTTGTGTCAAACTGTGAAGGACCATTAAACTAATACCAGGAAGGGTGTCTATCAGAAAGCAATGTTCACTTAAGGGAAATTTAAATATCCTGTTTATCCTTTAGCCTAACTTGTAAATTCTTTTCCTTTTTGTGCTATTCTCATTAACCCAGATCTAAGGGTGAAAGTCACCACTGAAGTTTACCAGACAGCAGAACAATTTCCTGCCCAAACCCTCAAGGTCTGGTTTAGTCAAAAAACATGGTTTTTAGTCCCAAGACTGCCTTTAAAAAGGCTAGAGATGAAGACTGTGTCTCATGGGGTTCCCAGTTGATAACCCAGGCAAAGGACATTGCCTTCTCCCCAAATAAGTAACTGCAGATCATCTGGCCACGGGAATCTTGAGCAACTGGAATACTGACAATTTTTAAAAACTTTTTCTCAAATTGGGTCAAACAATTTACCCCCTAACAAAATAATCTCTTCAGCATTCATGGATATTTTAATACATTCTGAGATTCCCTGTTCTCACCGATCATAATTTTCAGTTATGAAAAGTAAAGATTACATTTAACTCATTCAATTACCTTGTATGTTTGGAATTCATCAAAATAAAAATAGAATCTTTATTTGACTTGGAAGTAGCATCAAATGTTTCACTCATCTGACATTAACTATTGTATAGACCACTACTGTCCAATATGGTAGAAAGTGACCAGTCCAAGCTGAGAGGTGCTATCAGTAGAAAATATAGACCAGATTTCAAAACTTAGCATGAAAAACATATATAAAATACCTCATTAACATTTATAGCAATTCTATGTTTAAGTGACAATTTTATGCAGATGCTATTAAGTAAAACATGACACTAAAACACTCTGTGAATTCATTTCCTTCCATGCGAAGAGATAGAAATTCTGCTAGCAAATGTTTACATTGCAAATAATAGAAATATCATTTTCTATAAGAATTAAATATATTTTTAAAATTTAACGGTTATACCTTAAAAATAGCTAAACCCAAGCTATTTCCCCAAATTTTTAAAATTAATTTTTAACTCTTTAAAAGTGGCTGCTAGGGGCTGGAAGGGGATGTGTAGTGTGTGTTGATCACAGATTCAATCCTCAGCACCAAAAATAAACTTTTAAAAATGGTGACTAGAAAATTTTGAATTACATACATCACTTAACATCTGTACCTGGCATAGATTACCAGGCTTTGCTGTACCAAGGAAACCCCAACTTTTTGGCTTTGTTTCTCATATTTTAATTGGTATAATATATGATGTCAGCTTTCAGTTACCTGTGCAAATACGGCATTTGCACATTTAAAAGAAATTTCTTACATAGTTTTGTTGTCTTTTTTTTAGAATACACAGCTCAGTTTTTGTCAGGGCAAAGATTTCTATATCCATACAGATATCATTAAACCAAGGATCCAAAATGCATAGTTAACATACAGTTAATTATAAATGAAGATACTCTAGCATATAAATCAAAGTCTTCAAAGATTTTAAGTACTGAGACCTAATAACATTTTCCAACTAATGAGAAAACCATAAAAAGGACACAAACAATATATTTTTACATAGAAAGAGATAAGTCTAATATTTTCATGAATAGCATTTGATACTATAAAATAGGCTTTACAGGACAAAAAAAAAAATGGAAAAAATGACCTTAGGAAAACAGACACAATGCAAAGATTGATAATGTGTGTTAATAATTTAAAAATGTAATCACAAGCATGAAATTGTGACCTCATTATTTGAATAAAAGTCTATTAAAATACAGAAGAAATAGTCTGAAACAAATGAAAAATCAAGACCTTAAAACAGTGACAAGTTTCTTTGTATAACAAGATGAAAAATGAAGTAATAATTATAAATAAAGACATTTCTACATGTAAGCCAAAGAGTCCTAAAGATTTTTCATGTTAGGACCTAATAATATTATTTTCCAATTGAGATATTTTCATCCTATGACGGATACTGAAATACCAGGTGGAAAACAAACCCTCATTTCCTGAAATAGGGGTGACAGGATAGGTAAGGCTTCAAAAACTGTAAAGAACATAACGAATTAACACCACCTTCTTCAAAGAAAGAAGAACAGTCTTCTTGGGAAAATTTAAGCACCCTGGAAGACACACCTACAATACTAGTTAACAAAATACTTGGTATTTTCAATACCAAGCCACTTCGGGGGTGAAAATGATGGAGGAATCAGAAATATATTCTGCTGAGACTCTGGGATCTGCACGAGGCCCTTCGCCCAGCTGCTCTCCTGCCACCGAAGAACGTGAACTCTGTTGAGTGCTCCAAACTCTGTGTAGAGGACAGCGAGTAGTTTTCTGTAGCCTCCACCTATCTGCGTATGAATTGTCCTTTTAAATGCATCCCCCCACAGAGCTGGACGGCCAGGTTTCATCTGAAAAGTAGCGGTTCATAGACTCCCACTTTTGTAGGCCTTTCCATTTTGCACCAAAGGACAGCATAAGTAATCTCACTCCTGTGAGCCCAATTTGGAACGAGGAATTGTTCTCATCATTCCTTTATCTTTGGCCAGAACTTTCCAGACTGCAGTTTGATGAGCAAACCTATCGTATTTCCTGTTTGGAAATTCTACCTCAAATTCTACACTTCAATAGCCAGCCAATTCAGAGTGAGCTGTCTGAAGGGGAATTCTTTCCTTAAAATTTGCCAGGAACTCATTCATTTTTGATGCTCTAGGACAACAGGTACGGAATTCACAGGGTGCTCCATCCTGTTGTCTGGGCCCTGAAGCAAAGGATGAGCAAACCTGAGGCATCTGTGCCTGCAGGGCTAACGCCCTGGTCAGGCAGCTTTAAAGGCAACAGAGGGCGGCAGCATGGGAGAGATTCCTGTCTCGGCTTCCTGACCAGGGAGGCTCATGGAAGGAATAGTAGGCAGCAGGAAGGGGCAGGGCTTGGCCTCTTGTATAGTTTTTAAAACAGTGCATAGGAAATGTTCATTACACACAGTACCGTTTTACAGAAGGGAAAATTCTGGTGCATGCCTTATTAGCTAGGATGACACAACCTGTCATCCTAGACCACGTAAACAAGACAGCGTTCTTCTATACTAATAAAATTGAGAGATGCAGCTATGGGACTTCCCCAGTGCTTTTAAATTTATGGGAAAAGAGCACTTTGGGGGAGCTCAGCGAGATGCAGTTTATCCAACAAAAATCTGAGTAGGTACCAAGTAAACTTCAGTACGTAGATCCAAAATTATCCAAGCCCAACCTAGGAAAGAATTTAGGGACTAAGAACTCCTCTTAATTTGAAAGAAGCAGAAATATTTTCTCTCCTATTGAACTCAGAGACTACCATACAAAGATGAAATGACATTCATGATCCAAAAAGTCACAATGTGTCTTTTTCAAAATTAAGTCACAGAAAAATAATATAAGAATGCCGTCATCCTTGCTGGGCTGATGGGCACAAACTTGTAATTCCAGCCACTTGGGAGGCTGAGGCGGAGGGTGGCAGGGTGGCCGCGCCCGTCTTGCAAAAGCAAAAAAGGAAACCGGGCTAGGGATGTGAAGACTGTGGGTTCACTCAGTGCCACCACATAAAAGGGAGTTTTGATCTTGTTTTTCTTCTCAGCCGATCTTTTAGTAGTCAGGAAACTCTCTACCCTCACCTGTGCCCTCTCAATCTGTAAAAATCCCAGGAATAACACTCCTGGGGTCATCCAGTGCCTTTAAACTTTTGTAGAGTCCTTTAAACTACTTCTTTGTTTGGTAAACAATTTTGTTTTTCATCGACGCGACGTTTTGAGGTTTGTAGACCAGATTTGTCATCATTATTTTGAGGAAGGAGAATGAAGCACGGGGAAAGAATTCCAACATTCAGCCTTCACGGGTGAGGGACGCTGTGTTTCTGACCCTTCTAACATGCTGTCTGAAAGGCAAATCTGCCTCGTGTCACAGGGTCCTTCCTTGTCCCTTTTGTCTTTCACTCTGTGCTTTAACTAAATCTGATCACTGTGACTGCGGGGAACAGCCCCACTGCTGGAAGACCTGCCTACCACCCCTACAAACTTAGGCAGGCCTGAGAAACAATCCCAGGAGAAACCCATTAGCCTCCCTGGGATATGGGGTAGGGGGTGACATCCAGTAAAACCTTATTTTACTAGAATAATTATAACATGCTTTGGTTTTGTCTCAAATTTTATGTCAATTATTTTGATTGACCTTTGAAGTTTGGATCCATCTGTTTGTTGACCGACTCCCTAACGTCTTTGCTGTCTGGAAATGCAGAATGTGACCGTGGCCCCAGGTTCAGCAGACCGAGTCGCTAATGGTGATGGGATGGCCGGAGAGGAGCCCGATGACAGCAAAGCAGAAGACACAGCTGGTGTCGTGAAGTTTGGCTGGGTGAAAGGTGTGCTGGTGAGAAAGCTCCTCTCTTTATATACGAACCCTCCCCATGCGGTCACCTGGTGGATGAAGTGTCAGTGACCAGGACCTAGGCTGGGGCCCCCCCGTCGAGGTCCTCTTTTCAGCGGCCTTTCCTCCCCAGGTCAGATGCATGCTGAATATCTGGGGGGTCATGCTCTTCATTCGACTGTCCTGGATCGTAGGAGAAGCTGGCATTGGTAAGTGCTTCTCCCTGAGAAATGATTTTCCTTTCCGCGCAAATCCTGCACTTGGCAAACACCCTGCTCTCACCATGAACGGTGAAAGGGAGGGGAAGGCCTCGGAGACCTTTCACACCTGACCTCCTTCCGCCCTGTCACTTTGACAGTGTTTGTCGGAGAACAAAAGGGAGGAATTAATGCCCTGAGTGAGACTGGAATTTTCCAGCTGACCAGCGGGCCAGAGCTAGGGAATATGTCTGTCTTTGGGTAGAGTTTAAAGCATACAGGTTTACAAAAACACATTTGATTTTAAATAATCATGTTCATATTTTGGGAAACATTGACCCAAATTTGCCCTTCCTTTGCCACAGAATACCTACCCTCTTAGGATGACTGGTGAAACTTCCCTAACAAAAACAACTTGGGGAACTGGTGAAATTGTGACCTAATAAAAGTGATGGATTTTTGAACATCATCCAAGGAAAATAACTGTGTAGCTTTCGCATACTTGCAGTAAGAAAACAAGTGTTAATAAGTAAAGCATTCCCCAATATAAGCTTGAAACATTAGAGGAAGTGATTAGGATAACATATATAACGAACGTCTTTTTCTAAATAAAAAAAGGAAATTATTGATATTATTCCAAGTGATTAATGTTTTTAAATACTAATTTCCCTTTAACATATTATTTCTGCTAGCAAATCTTTTGGGTTGAGAGTACATTAGTAAAATTTATGTGAAAAACCTATTTGAATTTTTTAACATTTCTGATTTAATGTGATAAAAATTAATGCTATTCTAGCCTATGTATGTGACATACATTACAAATTCACACTGGAGGGAAGATTTATAAGTCATGAGTGCTGAGAACAAAGAATTTCAGATGTTCTTTTAGACACTAACCCAGAAGACAGCTCAAGTAATGTTTAAAAAGTAGTTAGCAGCTGAGCATAGTAACACACCCCACAGTCTTGGTGCTCTATTAGGCTGAGGCAAGAGGATCTCAGGTGTGAGCTCAGCCTGGGCAATTTGGGGGCTCAGCAAAAACCTGTCTCAAAAAAAATTTAACAAAGAGGAAGGGGTGGCTGGGGATATATTTCAGCGTGAGGTCTTTAGTTCAAGGCCCCATATTGCCAAAAACAAAAAGTAATTTGTGATTATTTACCGCCTTGCTCTTCAAAACATATTCAGAACCAAAAGAAGCCTCACTGGAGAAGGAAAGGACCAAGCTGTAAACGGAAAAGCTAGAACTGGTTCCCACAGCTTTCTCTGTGTTTCGTGTGTCTGGCAGTTGCTGGGGCCTGACAAAGGGCTGCCTGCCGGTTTTATGAAGCATGGCAAATCAGCCCCACAGCCCGCGGCCAAAACAGTGCGTCCTGCTCAGTGGAAAATCTGCACCTCCACATTGCCAAGGTTTTGCTCCAGGGCTTCACGCAAAATTAGGTTTTTAAGGGCAGTTTAGTAACTTATTGAGATCATCAAGGAGCATTGCTTTGTTTGGAAGGTACGAGCATAGCCAGGGTCAAGAGTAATTCTGGTTAATGGCAGCTTATTTAGCATCCATATGTCTGGGTAATAATCTGAACCTTAATCAGATCTTCCATTACTCTTCCCAGTCAACCCCGGCCTCGAGCTGATAACAAAACTGTAAAATATGAAGGATCCTATTTTCTGCTAAAGAGTTTATTCTGCTCTCAGTTATGAGTGCAGTTTTAAGTAGTTGAATCTGCATTAGAAGCCAGTGGAGTTCTTCTAAATGCCCACCAATGGAGGTTTGTTGGGCTACCTCTCTCTCTCTCTCTCTCTCTCTCTCTCTGTCTCTGTCTCTGTCTCTGTCTCTCTGTCTGTCTTGGAACAGGAACTTCTTTGGCTGTGCCCCTAAAGCTAGAAGAATTATGTTACCACATGGGCCAACTGGGTTTTCAGAATTAAGGAAGAAAAACTGAAATAAATAACTTTCTTGTCCTTTCTGCTGGCCTTGGGGGTAGTTTAGAGGAAAAAACCTGAACACATTTTCAAGCCTAGATCCTGGAAAGAAAACCAAAGGAGTCTGGAACCAGTCGTAACAGTAGCTGCTGCCCTGGGGTAACCATTCCAGGTCTGTGGGTTTTCATCTTGGTCTTAAAAGTGAATGTTAGAAAGAGCTAATAGCGCTGCTGAGTTTTTCACACCTGTTGTGGAGACCTTGGCTGGGCACCAGGGTTTCCAATAAACAATCACTGGCAAGGTAGATGGGCGTGCAAAGCTAGCATGCCCTGCACCAAATCACTCCTGTACTGTGAGGTTACTTTTTGGCTAAAAATTAGGAAACTGGGTTAATTCTGGCCCAATCAGTTCTTGGAAAATAAAGCTGAAGAACCCTGGTAGGAGACAGACAGCTGAGATGGGTTGAGAGCAGGGAATTACCTACGAAGTCTGCTGAGAAAGCTGCAGAATCCTGCAATCACTCTTAATGATCCCAGCTCAGGAGGTGCAGGAATTTTTACTGAGGACTCCAGGCAGCTCATAGAGCAGGTGGTTCAAGGACCACTCCTTGAGGAAGCAATGCAGTGAAGATTCCCTAAACCGTTTTTCTCTGGAATTTTCCATTTGATTGTGAGATAGGAACAAGTCCCTCGGTGTTTAAATGTATAAAATATTCTAAGTTTTAACAGACTTATAGAAATATATACAATCCAAAAGGTTACATTAAGAATCACTGGGGAAGTTATACTGGCAAAGGGAACGGACAGTGGGGGAACAGTAAAAATTAGTGCAAAGGTGCGGTCCTGTGCAGCTGCTGTAGGTGCTAAACGGTTGATCTTACACTTCCTCAAAACCAAGTCAGGAACAAAATAATATGCAGAAGATAGAAATAAATCACCTCTAGTGGCACAAAAGTCTGAGACCACGTACTGATATAGGGGTTTTGCCCACAAAAGCCCCACACTAGACAGGAAGAATTCAGAACAACTATTTCTTACAACCCCGAGCTTTTAAGAGTCGGCAGGGGCCAAAGTCATATAACCGAAATTTGCAGCTTGGGTCCACAATCAGCTTCTTGATGATGCATTTTAATTTCCAAATTAGCTCCTGCTAGGGTCAAGGTATGCCGGGAGCAGCGAAAGGGCCTCTATGACTATTTCCATTTTTTGCTCCTAACCTCCCTCCACTTTCTGGTCACTTGTGGAGTGGCCAGAGAAAACAGAGCCAGGACTCCCCTTCTAACCTCCTATGTAAAGAGCCTCCCAGAACCCCATGCTAAAGCACTCTGGGGAAAACCAGGGTGATTTGGTGGCTGTGACCCTGCACCCTGCTCCCAGAGTTCTGGTCAGCTCCAGCAGAGACACATCCTAGAGGAAAAAAAACATTGCTTCACTCTGCTGGACTTTGGTTTGTGGACGATGGCCTTAGAAGTTTGATGATGACTACAAGCTGAATTAACAACAGAGAAACAAACAGAAGTTTACCAACATGGGCATTGGGCATAGCCACGCAAACACTTGGTGACTGTGTCCTGAGCTTACATTTGTCTTAACAGAAGACACATAAAACTGTAGAAAGGTGACAAGACAGAGGAGAAGAACTTTGAGTTTATGGTGGCAAACTGTAGGAAGCTAAATAAACTGGTTATCACTGGAAGGTAAAAGTTGGCCAACAAGGCCTCTGTAGACTCCTGGGGCGCCTTGTGTAGGCACCCGGGTCTCCAGTTGTATCTGGCAATTAGCTTGTCTTTCCTGATAGAGAGGGAAGGTGAGCACATTTGCAGATGTGTATCCCACATACAAACAAATAGGAAGGAAAAGGGAGCTTTTCCGGAGTCTGATTCTTCATAATTGGCTTCAGCTCAGAATAATCCTTACACCAGGGCAATGCATTCCAGCACATCATGCCCCCTTTGGTGCCCTCTGGCTCTGCGTTTCGTAAAACTAAAAGCAGCTCTGTCTGCCCCTTAGTTCTGGCCTCTCCCTTTTTGACCCTCTGAGCTAGAAGCACCTCTGGGGCAGCTGCTTTTATTTCATTGTGCTTAATCTTACCTTTTTCACATTGCCTACTGGCTAGTATAGATAAGGCTATCCGTACATAGTACTTTTTTGTGGTCACCACACATGAGATGGGACCGTCACACTATTGGTTATACACCGAGCTCTCTGCATGACGATAGAGTCTTTACATGTTCTTTATCATTTAATTGTCCTTCTGGGCTCAGAAAATAAATAGTTTTCTGGGAGCCACTCAGTCAATAAGGTAATGTGGTCCAGGGTGGTTCTTTTGGTTACACCCACCTGCCTGATGAGTAGTTGGCTAGAGCAGTTGTAATTTTCTACCCCTTCATAACCAAAGTGCTATTAAAGAACATTACTGGAAAGACACACAGCTGAGCTCCAGTTCAGTGAACAGTGTGAGATGGTATGAACATCCTCAAAGATGGGATTCATAGCATACTTTCTACCAAGTTTTGTGGTCCAGTTGCACACAAAACCACACTATGCATCTCAACCCTTGAACTCCTTGGAGACAAAACTACTATGGGTAGACAGCTCCCAAGTTGAGCAGTTCCTGCGCGGTGATTTCCTAGCCAACTTGTTAAGCTCAAATGTGGTCTCTTAAGGATTACCCCAAACTTGTTGGCTTTTATGTAAATGACCCAGTGGATTGTGCCACCATTTAATTGCCTTTGTTTTTCCTCTCTCAACTGAGGTCTTGGTGTGATTATCATCTGCTTAGCTGTCACAGTGACTGCTATCACTGGCTTATCCACCTCTGCTATTGCCACAAATGGATATGTCAGAGGAGGTAATTAAACTTGTGACCCGCAGAATCATTTGTCAGGTAAAAGCAACACAGGCTCCAACAGCTCACCACTGACCTTTCTGGAGTGTTTTCAAAGGTAATACAAGTTGGTTTCTTTTTCCCCTCAGGCAAAGGGATACGAGACAAATGGAGCAGGATTTAACCTTTGTCAAATCCCCAACTTTCTCATTCAGATTCCTCAGGAGCAAGCCAGAAGGTCGAATGTCATGTTTTCACTTTTCACAGGCAGGGTAGTTGCTCTCCCAGGACACCAGCATAAGTTAGCTGTTCTCTGGCAGGGCTGCATTTCAGGTTGTGTTTACTGGTGGAAACCATCCTTCATCATAACGAGCGGTTCTCCGACCTGATCTTTTTGCCAGGTTTCTCCTTAGCACAAGGAAACCCCGCTGGGGCCCAAGGCATGGACCTGAAAACTTACAGGCAGCATAGTTTGCAGCAGCAGAAAATCTAAGGCAGGAAAATAAAATGTAATCTCTTCTATCTTTCATTGCTAACAGGTCTTGGAGTTATCATAATTCTTCTTTCCACCATGGTAACTTCTATTACTGGGTTGTCAACTTCTGCAATAGCCACTAACGGGTTTGTGCGTGGAGGTAAAAATCTCTAAGATATCTAATGCCCTCATCACTTACCACCGGTAGGCAAAAACATTTTCTTACCTACTTGTTATTGATGGGAACAAGGAAGTAGCTCAATGTTCTTGAACCCTGGCTAAGTCCCTGGAGACGCAGGGTGCAGAGAGAAGCATGTGGCAAGGTAAGTCAAGTCCAGGTCTACTCTGGTCAGCTCTGGTCTCGTCTCCATGGAGCTCCTGGTGCATTTGGCTGGCATTACAGAGGTGTGAGTTCTTTGGATAAACATTTTGTTTTTCAGGCCAGTCTTCCCGCTTCTTGCTGGTGTTTCCGAGAACATGACCTCTGGACAGGAATTCCAATGTAAAGTTCAGTACTTTTCAGGTGCCTCTGGACCTTCACGGACTGGGATCTTTTAGCACGTTTCAGGTGTCCCTGGAGAGATGGAGCCTTCTCTGCCAAGACTCAGGCTACCATATCCTGAAGTACTGGCGATGGGAGCCAATGCCTCTGTTGGGGGATTTTTCAGGTCTTGGTGTCATCATCATTGGCCTGAGCGTGGTCGTGACGACACTCACAGGTATTTCCATGTCTGCTATTTGCACAAACGGAGTAGTAAGAGGAGGTAAGCCACTTAAACTCCTTACGACTGCAAGCTTGGGCTCCACAATAGTGTTTAAAGTGGGCTTAACAATGGAAGTGAAGTTCTGATAGTGCTAAATCTCTAAAGTCTTAAAGCCAAACAAAACAACCCAAAATTTCAACAGCAAAACCCTTCTCAACTACAAATAGAAAATCTCTAGAAAAGACTTCTGTGACCCATTTCCTGTCATAAACCAAGTTTCAAAATATCAAGTGCCTCTGTGTCTAGTAAGAAAGCATGGAACACTACAGTGAAGCCAGTGGTTTCCATGTACTCTGTGAGCGTGCCCTGACCGTCAGTCAGGTCACCTCAGCCTTAGTCTTCTATGACCCTTTAGCTGACCCTGTTCATGATTTCTACCCAGCAAGCCACTACGGCACCAGCCTTCAAGGTTCACCCCAAACTCTATGCTCCCTAGCCAATCAGCCAGGGAAGATCATCAGAAAGAAAAGAAAACCAAACAAAGAATTGCTTTCAGGCTACCCAGAAACAGCCAGCCTAGGCAAAAAGGAAGGGGTGAAGTTCTGCAGAGTCCTTCTAATTTCTTATCATTCCCCTTCCAGTTCCCTTAGGCTTCTCAGGGCAGGTTTTTCTCAGGTACCATCTCCAGATCTCCCCCTCTGGCTCTCTAAACACCATCCTGCCCACAACACACCTATCTCCCAGCTTCTCTGTCCATCCTTCATTTGAACCTTGCCCCCAGGTAACTATTTTGTTTAATGACATCACAATAAAGGAAATAAAAGTGATCTGTGCCACTCAGATAACATTACATTTCAGAGAGGATTTTAAACCCAAAGGAGTTACTAGAATGAAAGAAACTCCCCAGTAAACGGTGGCTTGGACTTTGTGGTTAAGAGTGTTTATTCAGGGTCATTCCACACCAACTCTGCTGACCCCCAAGACTAGATCAGTACAGAAGGCGATTAGGATGGTCTGTGACAATCAGACCTCTCAAATGATGTCTTTGTCACTTTCTTGTCACTGGCAAAATAGTGGCACCTGCAATTCCAAGGATGAGAGATTTAGTTTAGCTCACGTTTCAGGTGTTTTAGTTTATATGCAGCAGACTCATGTGAGGAAAATGGCATGGAGAAAGGGTCTGGGCAGAGGAAAGCTGCTCATGTTGGGAGAGAAAGAAAGGAGTACCCGGAAGGAGATATGCACTTCCGGGTCATGCCTCCTGCCAAACCCCATCTCCTAACAGGTAGTCAGGTGTAGCACCTTCTTAATCAATTTCCAAAAGCCTCTCCTATAAGCACACGAGGCACCTGGGGAACATGTAGCTATAAACCATAGCATCTAGTCTTTTCCACTGCTAGTGACTTGCCCAGGAGACCCTCTAGCTATCTGGAAGTCCAGATCAGACTTCCATGCACACAGAAATCCACAGTCATGTGTAGAGCTTTTTTCAATATCCAACAGAAAAGCAATCATCCCAAGCCCTCCCTACTTTCATTCCCACTTGTTACCCACATTATGGGTGTTTGGTACTCATGCCTTGTTGAGCTGAAAACAAAAACCAGGTCTGATTAACAGAATGGATAATACATATCATTATGTTAAGATACTATGTTTTATGCAGCAAGTATACAGCTGAGATGCTTATGCAACAGAAAGGAAGCAAAAAAAAAAAAAAAAAAAAATCATTTCTTTTGCTTCATTTTACCAAAGCCTGTTTCTTGGAAATTCTGGATATAAAATTTTATTTCAGATGCATTATTAATATGAATAGTTCAATTATATTTTTTAAAGACAAAGTAGTTTTTGTAAAGTTTTGCTGCATTTTTATTTGTAGCCTTGTTTTACATTTAGGATTCAATAAATTGAATTTTATTAAGTCTATTATGTAACATAGATTATGTACAGAATACAAAGAAGGGCTAAGTTGTTTGTTAAGATAACAGGGTTTCTAAAATTATTAGGAATTTATAATATTTTTATTAGCATAATTAAAATTTAAAATTTCTTAGACATTCAGAATCATTTAATCAGATAAACTAAATTCCTTCCTAGTTTCTCCATGTAAAACATGCCCATTTCTTGTTTCAGGTGGAGCCTACTATCTTATTTCCAGGAGCTTGGGGCCGGAGTTTGGTGGGTCCATAGGCTTGATCTTTGCATTTGCCAACGCAGTGGCTGTTGCTATGTATGTGGTGGGATTTGCCGAGACTGTGGTAGATCTTCTTAAGGTAATTAACACTTTTCTTCCTACAGCCAAGCAAGATCGTTTAATTCAACTTTCTTTTTCAGGGCACTAGGGGATATTATTATGGGAAAATGAGAGGGGGGAAGCTGGATGCAGGAGAAGGAACCCCTCATTTGGCTTTCAGTTCTGGTTCTCACTTTGCCAGCTGCGAGACTTTGGACTGCTTTCTCTATTTACCTGAGACTCTAAGCTGGGCCAGTAATATCCTGTGTATTGAATAATATCTTGTGTATTTCACAAATGTTTGGTTCAGTCAGATAAAGTGATATCCAAGAAGTATCATGTAAAATATGAGACATCAGATAGATAATGGACATTATTATCTGCAGTATACTACTAGTAATAATTATGGATTTCTCAAAGAAAAGAAAGTTCAAGCATTAAAATAACTCAGTGCAGAAAAATAGGCATTTCCTACCTTAAGTACCCTGCTAGGATTGTGTGTTGCAAGCACTCTAGTTAGCTGGCATTTGAACTAACTTCTGGTCTTGTGGTAATAGCACTGACTGAGCTCAGCTAGTGAAAGTAAATCCGTGAGAAAATTTGATGAATAAATGAGCATATTATGTACTTCAGAAAGTCTGTTATCATAAGAGGTGCATTAGCAGGTTTGTGTAGCCTGTGCTTAAATTGCTCACCACTTATTTTCAACATCCACATTATAAACCACTTGTTTGTATTCCTCTTGGATTCCCCTTGACATAGAAAGTAACGAGTAATTCTTCTGAAACAAAACACAACATCTGCATGCAGGCATTTTTACTGAGCGCTCCAGGGTCCTCAGGAGCTCTTACTGGAGTGCACCTCTGCTGTTCACAGCTTCTAACTTTGGCTATCAAATGCCTATTAGCCTAAGAAAGAAATAATGCTAGGTTTTCTACCTTCCTAAATTTATAACCACTTCATTTTTCTATTGTCGTGCATGGCCCCAGGCATTAGTGTGCAATCTCTTCCCACTGTAAACTGCTACAATAAAACCAGTGTGCAAGAATCTACCTCTCCAATCATGCTATTGAGTTCCTTCCCCAGGAGAGCGATTCCATGATGGTGGACCCGACCAATGACATCCGGATCATAGGCTCCATCACCGTGGTGATTCTTTTAGGGATTTCCGTCGCTGGAATGGAATGGGAAGCAAAGGTAAACTTCTTACAATGGCATTATCAACACCTTCCAGTCAGGTCCTGACATGAATCAGGGGAAGCCCGTCTCTTAGAACATGAATGTTGTTGTTTGTCATGGGCAAAGGAGAAGTCAGTACTTGTGGAACAGTGAGTGTGCAAAGCACCAATTGAGCTCATTTGACACATGAACAGGCCGGGCTTTTTCCCCTTTGGTGCTGTCAGCACAGTGACACAGCCACTAAAGTCACTGCATCCATACACACAAGCTCTTATGGCTCTGAGCCACGCTGGAGGCCCATGTCTCGGTTGCTTCTAGAATCCCCTTGCAAGCTGCCTGTGAGTGCTAAAGGCCCCCAAATGACAAGTGTGCTGGAAGAAGGTGACAGAAGCAGGACCATAGATCTCCTCTAGGATCCAGCACTTCACTTGTGAAATTAAGGGCGCCATAGGCTTTGGAACCAGAGCACACCTCCAGTTAACCAGGGGTAAAGCAGAATGAGTCACTGGATTATAAGGAGCAGGTCTTTTACTTCTGGGAACTCACGCTGGAATCAGTGCAATATAAAATGCTCCTCCATGCCCAGAGACGCGTGACTAGTTCCCACGGGGTCACTAGAAACAACAAGATGGCTAAGCCTCCTACCTATGCAAGATGAGATCCCTCCATTGCTGGTTTTTTGTGAATTGTGATTTCCTACATTAAACAAAATTAAGTAAGTGCCAACCATGTGCTGGGCAAGACCCCACATGTCTAATTGTGACCAAGTTGGGCACATTTCCTGCCCTACTTCAGTGTATGGTCTCTGGATAGAGGAAGAATAAGCAAGAAAATGGAGCGATAAACCCAAAATGACAAAGCATGAAAGTACCCTAAAATAATTAAGCCCGAGGTTTTGGGTACAATCCCCAGGGCAGGAAGAAAGGAAGGAAGGAAGAGGAGAAGAAAGGAAGGAAAGGAAGAAGGAAGAAAGCAGAGAGGGAGGGAGGCTCAGAGAGAGGGAACGAGGAAGGGAAGAAGGAAAGAAGGACAGAAGGAAGGGAGGGAGGGAGAAAGGAAGAAGGGAAAGGTAATGGCAGATAGCTGGGGACACCTCTTCCCTGCTGTCTTCCCAAGGGAGGCCTTCTGGCTCACTGGCAGCAGAGGGTGGTATTTAAAGCTCTACGTCTATTTGTGTCTAGTTGTTTTGTTTTTTAATCAGGAACTGAACTCAGGACTTTGCACTTGCTGGGCAGGCGAGGGGCCTAGTTTTGAATCCAGTCAGTATCTCTGTGACCCTGAGTCAATTATAGAATCTTTATGCTTCGGTTTCCTTACCTGTGGAGTGGGAACATTCGTATTCCCTGCCTCTCAGGGCTATAGGTGGCATCGCGTACCTGAGGGAATACAGGTAGCTGCTGCCTGTGGTATACTGCCTGCCCTCGGTGGCTCAGTAGTTGTTCAGATGAAGTGGTGAGGAAAGGGCTCTCCAAGACCTAGCTGAGATTCTAAGGAGGAGGAGGACCCCATTACACAGAGTAGAGTGGTGTGGAGTCCAGGCCAATGGTGATGCCAGGCATTGGAGGGGGCCTGCGAACTCTGCAGGCTGCTCATGCCAAACACACACCAGTCAGCTGGCATCAAGTGCCTTGAGCATCACAGAAACTCTCCAACCTTGTGTTCTGGCTCTGCTTGTGCAGTTAGGAAGAGGAAAGACCCACAGGTATTCTATCTAGAAAAAGGCTCAGTGCATAAATGCTGAAACCTTCAGCTTTGTTTACATTTCCAGAACCACTGAGTAGGTACCCACCTATTTCTTGGACTGTTCTCAAAAAGTCAGCCTCAGGTACCCAAGTCCATGTTCTCAGGGGAGCTGTAGCATCGACAACCAGGTGGAACAGGCTTATAAAGTCACCTTTCCCTAAGGCTTCTCTTGTCACCTGTGCTGAACGGCAGAGTCTTGGCTGGAATAATCAGACTTCCTCCAGCAGACACGTAATTTTACAATTCTATGAATGAGGTTGGTACATAAATCTACTTAGTCTCCTTCCGTGTTGCCATGGCAGGCTCAAGTGATCCTTCTGGTCATTCTTCTGATCGCCATCGCAAACTTCTTCATTGGAACCGTCATTCCGTCCAACAATGAGAAGAGGTCCAGAGGCTTCTTCAACTACCAAGGTACGGAGACCAATGAGCTGCTTTTCAGTAAAAAGCTCTGCGCTGCTCTCCTCCCCATCCCTCACACCCCAACACCAGCCATGAGAACCCCAGAAAGGAGGCAGAAATTGGGTTCAGCAGGGTCAGGGTTGGGTCTTAACTTCACTGCTTACCAGCTGGACAAATCATTGAACGAGTTTGGGTCTCAGATTTTGCTGCTAAAGTGTGACTGGTGACAATAACCTCCCGAGGGAACTCCGAGGAGTAAATGAGAGAGTGGATGTGAGGGCACTTTTTAAATCTTAAAATGCAGAGCAAGTTTCCCTGTCAGATGACAGGAATAGCAAGTACAGGCAAGGAAGGAGAGCAGGGCTTGGCTCAACTACTGCAGAGAACTGAGTTCAAGCACAGTGGTTGTTTTCTTGTTGGTAGCCTTTCGGGACCTTGCCTTGCACTGACTTTACCTAGTGATGCATTGTTTTCAAGCATAAGACATCCCAGGAGTTTCTGAGTGCAACATCCTGTAGTGACATCATGAAGACGCCTCGTTTGCTTTGGATGTTGACATCTTCTTCCTTGTATTTTTTCCCTCTTTCTTGCAAGTGTGTTTTAGACTCTCTTTCCTTCTTTGTGCAACCCAGACTCCCTTTCTTTCACACATTTTTTCTTCCTTTTCCTCATCCTTTATGTTTTGCTTTGAGCTTGCTGAATTTTTCTTTCTTTCATTTCAGCATTTGAAAACAGGCTGTGGGGTAGGATTATTCCCCCATACTGTTCTTCCCTATGTGAGGGTTTGGCGTAAGGATTTAAGGTCCAAACTCTGGAAGCAAGGACCAGAGACTAGCAAATCAATGGCAAAATTTTAAAGTAACCTAGTTGGTGAAACTCTCCTACCATTAAAGACAAAACAAAACAGAGAAACAGTGCTAGTTGTTTCACATATTTATGAAGGGTGTGCACATGCAAGACCACATGTGGTGTATTTACAAGTATGCTAATGTGGCCTTGAAAGAAGACTTCATCTTCTCCTTCCATCTTTTCTAAATTCAAAGAAGTCAGGCAGGCACCCTGAGTCTCTGTGGACATAGTAAAGATGCATGATTTTTCAGCGCTGTGTTCTAGGGACCTAAAACCTTACATACTTTGGCATTGGTCAAATAGTAATGTCAACATCCTGTGACCATTCTGCTTAGAATCCAGGGATGCTTTTGCACGTGGAATTAGCCCAAAGATCTCGGCCTACTTTGTAAAGCATGTCCCCAGTTACCTTTCCTGTCCTTTGGGTTACAGCATCCATATTTGCGGAGAACTTTGGACCAAGCTTCACGAAGGGTGAAGGGTTCTTCTCTGTCTTCGCCATTTTCTTCCCAGCAGCCACTGGAATCCTTGCTGGCGCCAACATCTCAGGAGACTTGGAGGTGCGTTGTGCTTTCTGCTTTGCAATCCTGGGAAGTCGCAGTGTGGTTGATGGGAGGCAAAAGAGGTGTACAGATCACGTGTGGCTGCTTTTCCCTACAGATTAAAACCGGGAGGTTTCTGAAAGATTTCCTGGTCATTTGCTATTATTTTTTTTCCATGCCACACTGGGGTGGCTATTTCAGATAGTTCTTCCAAGGTCTTATGCGGTGAAGTCATTTCACCAACAAAATGAATACAGTTCAGGGGGAAAGTATTGAAACTACCTCCTTTTTAAAAACCATACTGAGTAAGAACATGGAACAGTCAAGAAGAGCAAAACTAGAGCAAAATGAAAACTAACCACTCTACCACTTAGCACGCCATGCATATTGTTCTATTCGTATTATCCTAAGTACTCTATCATTGTATTGGGTATGATGTTGGACTGAATGATTTATAAAAGGCCACTAGCAGTGGCCATAACAAGACAGAGTGTGTTTGTCTAGTGCATAAAAATTTGAGCTCATATGGCATCCAACAAGATTAGAAAGATCTGCTTCAAAAGGTAACCTGGGGTTACGCTGGGGTTTGTCCATATCTGCAAAGTCCAAGATGGTTCCATCTCATCCTGTGCAACATAGGGATTTAGTGACACTCTGTCTCAAAACAAATAAAAAATGGACTGGGGCAAGCTGGATGTGGTGGTGCATGCTTATAATCTCAGCACTCAAGGCTGAGGCAGGAGGATTGCCAAGAATTTGAGGCCAGCCTGAACTACACAGAGAAACCCTGTCTCAACCCCTCCCCTCAGGGAACTGAGGCTATAATCAGTGCATTATGTAAGGGGGTTCAATCCCCCTTACATAATAAAATAATGAAATAAAATCCCTTCCAAGGTTATGTTTCGGTCCATAGGAACAGAAATAAGCAGAGCCAAGCAATTCTGGACTTGTCTGTATTTTTCTGCCGCTGCTCCATTAATCAGAATTTAGTTTGGTGAACTTACCTAGTTGCAAAAGAGGCTGAGGAATGTATTCTCCCCCTGGACAGCCATGAACCCAGGTAAAATTTTGAAAGCATTCTAGTATTAAAAGGAGAAAAGGGAAGATATAGCAGGGGAACATTAAGAACTCTCTTTAAAAATAGAGAACATATGGGTTTTACACCAGACTAAAAAGTAGAAGACTCAGGTTTTTTACCCCAATAAAATGATAATCAACTGTAGAAGATAAGTATTTTTAAGAGTCACCAGGAGATAGCTTATTATGATCCATGCGTACCCAAGTTTATAGCAGCAGATCACGTAATAGCTAAACTTTGAAAACGGCCTTTATGTCCATCAGCAGAAAAACAAAGAAAAGATGGTATTTAACACACAGTGGAGTACTACTCTGCCATAAAGATAAATGTGAGTCATTTGCAGGAAAATAGAAGCAGTATTCGCTTCGGTAGCACTTACACTAAACATGGAAAATGGATGCATCTTGAGTCCATGAGGTTAAGGGAAATAAATCAGACACATGCTTAAATACCACACAGTTTCTTTTCTATGAGAGAACCCAAACTATAAATATGTTGAAGAGCAAAATAAAAGATAAAGAATAGCAGTGTCTGGATGGGGTGGGGGCCGGCTGAGCGTGCTGGGCTCAGCCCTGCAGGAAACTCTCTCTGCCTTCAGCTGCCGGGGCACTGATTAGTGTCCAGGGCAGTGGGCGCTGCGCTGCTCAGAAAGCCTGGAAAACAAGCTTTGCTCGCTGGTGCTGCAAAAAGCATTAGTGGGAAGGCCATGAGGACACTGGACCTTCCTTTCCCCGCTTTATTATTTAGCAGATTCTGTGACATAAGATCCCCGAAGGAAGTAAAACACGTCTTCTCACTGAGAAGCCACAGGGCCCAGGAGCCAGTGTTAGGAACGGCCTCCGCCTAAGGAAATCAGAGGTGGTGGGAGAACCAGGAAAACCAACTCTGTTTACCGTACTAGGCTGAACCAAATGAGCAGGTCACCTCTGATCGCAGCTTTGCAGTGAGGAACGGGCAATAAAATAATCACAAAGGGGTAACCGTGCTAGTGCCGGGAAGGAGGGTGAACCGGGCTACAGGATCGCTTTGTGCTGAGCTCACCAGACAAGTGAGAAGGAAGCAGGGTGATCTGGCTTAGTGTGAGAGGACACCAGAAGACCCCTTGGGATAGGAGCTGAGGCAATATTGTGGCTTATCCTAAGCCAAGGGAGAGAGGATTTAAAGAAACTAGAAGGCCAGTTAGAGGTTCAGGGCAGTTTTAAACTGGGGCCCAGAGCCTGGATGTGACCATAGCAATGCAGTGGAAAAAACTGATTGTGGACCCAGTGGGAGAGAAACGATTTGTTTTTGATACCAGAAGTCGAACTCAGGACCTTGTACTTGCAGGCAAGCTCTGTGCCACCCAGCTCTAACCCTGCCCAAGAAGAACAATTTTAAACCAGAGAGGGGAATGGATTTGGAGAGAGGTGGGTGGATTTCAGCAGAGTCTAGGAAGTCAAAGTTGGAAGCTGAAGTTAACTGTCAGACTGGCTGTGAATGCGAGGGGAACCGGGAGTGTCAGGGAGGACACTGCCTCTGATGGACAGTAGTGCAGGTCATTAACATACAGAGGTCTGGAGGAGGACGTCGCCTAGAAGACTAACACACAGGAGCAAGTTCAATTTTTAATGCCTGAATCTTTACCTCTGGGCTTCCAAGCTTCTTAAATACTTTCTTGTGTGATTCTTAAGTTATTTCAGATTTACAGCTAAAGAAACATAGTCAGGTAAGGCAGACATAGATGGGCTTTTTTCAGTGTTCTAAGATGAATTCTAGTTTGTGAATGGCTCAATCTTATTCTGAGGAATACTTTGTGCTCCTTTTAAAAGAGCAAAGGAAGAGCTGCAGGTTAGCAGGGAGCCTCGGTAGCATCCTGCAGCACACAGGCTGCAGCCACCAGGTTAGAAGAGGGTGCAGCGCATGCGAGGTCCTCACGTAATTCCTTTGGGAGATGGGAGAGAGAATTGCTAAGATGATAAGAATTGGCCAAATTAATTTTGCAAATACTCAGTTCACCAGGCTGTGTGTAACCTGGTCTGTCCTCCCTGGATGAATGTGAGCATGCATACACCTCTGTGTAGCACAGAAGCACAGCAAATGACCAAATAATAGAAATTATTTTCATGTCTTCTGTCTGCAGTTTCAAAAAGCTTGCAAGGAGATAAACCTGTAACAGGATGGGGCCCTCACTCCTCATCCTTTATATCTACTGACGTGCATATTTACATTATGCCCCAGAAATTTTCCTTACAAATAGGTAGTGTCTCACGAAAAATTGAAGATAAGATGTGATAAGTGAAATATAACTTCCCTTTGGGGCAGTAACCTTTTAGTCAGTTGTTTTAGGTATAGTACTGTTCGTGGTGACTTCAATCTTTAAGTACTAGAAATGGAAAAAAATCACATTTATTAATAGGAAGCTGGATTTTAAAACTGCAGCTTATTCTTCCATCAAAATAGTTCTGAACAATAAAAAGGAACAAACTAATAACACCTCAGGGGTGAAATCTGAAAACAAGCCGTGATGCCTTCCCACAGAATCACATACTGTTTAATTCCAGTTCTGTGAATTCTCAGACTACAGTGAGTAAAAAATCACAGCTGAGACTGCCTGAGGTTGGAGATGGAAACGGACTTGGGAGCACTGGGAGGGAATTTCTGGAATGCGCCGGTCATATTCGTGTTGGAGGACACTTCAGTTATACAAATGTATAAAAATAGCCAAATGACATCCTTAAGATTTGTACATCTCATCATGTTCAGCCTCAAAAAAAAGAATTTTAAACAAATGTTGAACTCTAATTAATGTTATGTATGCTAAAGTATTTGAGGACAAAATTCTGATACCTGAAACTTACCTTGAAATGAATAAAACATAAAAGAGTGGAAAGAAGAACAAATAGAAGGCCATATGGAGCATGTTAATTATGGGATCTAGGTTTTTCTATAAGCTTTCAACTTTTCTGTATGTTTCAGCATTTTCATAATAAAATGTTAGGTGAAATCCTTTAAGGCATACTGTTCAATTTAGACTATTGAAGACTACTATGAAAATGTGGACAACACAACCATAAGCTCACTTGAAATACACAGGGGCTGTATTTCCCTAAAAAAAGACCTAAATGAAAAATAAGCCCTCCCGTGATTTTTTCTAAGATGCTTGTAAGATAAGCCCCAAAGTAAACCCCAGTTAAGACGCATTTAGTACATTCATTGCAACACATGATAGATGTACTGAATTAGAAAATAATAACATATAACTAAATGTACATAATTTACTGACTATTTAAAATAAGTGGGCCGGGGATATAGCTCAGTGACATAGCACCTTCCTGGCAAGCTTGAGGTCCTGAGTTCAATTCCCAGTAACCCCCTCAAAAAAAGGTCCAGTTCTGGACTTTCATATAAAAAAATTTGAAATAAGTGATAATTTTTACAAAAAGATAAGTAATAGGAAACAGGAAGAATGATGTTTTTAAAATGGGAATGAGAGAGAGGGAAAGGAAAGGAGGGGACGAGGAAATAGAAAGAAGATGTTTTATATTCATGTTTCAACTCTCTACAATAAATATGATCTATCTTTATATATCTCAAATGTGTACTAATAGATATATTTTGTAAAAAGAGACAGTCAATAGGAGATGTGTGTAAATGTTCATGTGTGTTGTGGAATAACAAAACTGAAGAACTAATTGTTTGGTTAGGGATGATTTCCTCCCAGGGCTAACTTTTGATCTGACTTTGAAAGCAAGGACCAGCCTGTGACTACCAGTAGACAGGTCAGGGAGTTGCAGGCTGAGCGGACCTGGAGCAGTCAGGCATGCGTGGGGGAGCTGAGAACAGGGAGGAGGGTCCTATATTTCCCCAGGAGAAACCCCACAAGGGCAGGGGAACAAGCTGGAGGTGCCATCCTTAGACTACAGCTCCAGGCTGTGGGGGCTTCACCTTGGCTCTATCCATTGCTGCGCCCTCTAAACTGGTAAGGCGCTAATAAACAGTTATGGAGTGAGCTAGCTAAGGCATTTAGATTCCTTTCATTCTTTTTTTTTTTTTTTTTTTTTTGTCTTTTTCGTTTTTTTATCGGTACCAGGGATCGAACTCACGACTGCCTGCTTGCAAGGCAGGTGCTTATGCCGCTGAGCTAAATCCCCAGCCCCAGATTCCTTTCATTCTTGACCTCAGTGCGGTGGTAAATTTTTAGGCAGAGATAATGGCAGGGAAAAGGACTCCGCTGGAGCTCAGGAAAGTCAAGAAACTTACTCCAAATGGCTCAACTAGTGAGTGCCGCTCCTACTTAGTGCAATTAAGTTATGGTTGTTGCATGTGTGGTTTCTCGGCCCTGGAAAAGGGTCCAAGGTCACCGATGTAACCTTCTGCAAACTGTAAGCACACTTCCAAATTAAAGTTCACTAGGCTTCCCCTTGACTCCTTAAAAGCAAGTCAGTATTATGTGCTTAGCAGTCAGTTTGGCTTAGTTGGCATTTACAGAGAGAATGAAGCCCATAAAGGAGGAAAGGACCAAAGGGGATAGCATTTGTAGGCGTTAAGAAAAGAAATTTTTTTAAAATCTCAATTACAATCCATGGAGAGAAAATATCACACACCATAGTCGAATCGACACTTAGTGTTTTCCCCAGGTGGTTTCTTTACCACAAGCAATGTCCTCTGATATGCTCACACCGGTACTTTACTGTATTCTTCTAACGCTGCTTATAACCTGTTGAGTTGATGTGGTGGTATATATATGCTGTAAAGGAAGCTCAGACTTGACCACTGAGGTTGGAATGGCGCAGGACACCATAATGAAAATGTCTAGCCACAGCTGGCTGGATAAAAGGAGGGAGGGCAGACTGAAGGCCACGGCAGAGGTGAACTCACCAGATATGTGCAAGAAGGAGAGAAGTGGTCCAGGACAGTGCTGGGGGTAACACGGACCTTCAACATCTTTATGGTAACAAGGGTACCAGTGACAAGAAAAGACAAAGAGATAAGAGGTGGGGGAGGGCAGGAGACACTGGGGCCCGGGGAAATCAAAAGAAGGCAGTGCTTTGGGTGCTGGTAATGTGATCAGAAGCTGGTGGACAGGCATGGGAAGAACTGAGCGGTGACGGAATGCTGGGAAACCAGCAAGGAACTTTAGATCCCATAGATGTGAGATCTCTCCAAGAGGGAACCAGAAAGAACAGATGCAGTTTGATTTGGTAAGTCAGTTGTGCACGGTGGAGGGAGATGCAGTTTGCTTACCTCTCTGTTCGGTGCCTCAGAACCCTTCTCACAATGGCCCTCTGGATGCCAGGGACAATTAATGGGGTTTGGCACAGGAGCTTGCTGCATTCCTGTGCTGAACCTTCTACTTGCTAATGAGACACTGGTAGATGTTCTGTAAGTAGATACCTGGGAGGAAAATTGAGGGAACACTTGTCTAATCCAAAGAGTTAAGCTGCCGTTTCAGAGATGCAAAATTGGAATGTGATTGATAGACTCAAAAAGCAACTTTCGTTCTCACCTAAAGAAAAAATAATATTTAACTAAGAGCAGTGGAAGGTTAGACTTTGGATTACTGCTGGAGGAGCGAAATTAATACTTGGAGCTAAACTGAATTTGTCAAAGTCCCACACCTTGTCTATGGGGAACCAGGCCACGCAATGCCATGCTTTTCTGATCCTATGAAATGGGATCCTATACGTATTATGGTAATGTCATAGGATTCTCTGCTTCTCATGTAACTTCTGTTAAGTAATCTTGGAGCTCATAGGAGCAGACAATTGTAAGTAAGAACTAAGTTTCTGTGTTTTAGGTCTGAGACTGCTTTCTATCTTCCTACCTCTTACTTGGTGGTTAGCTGGCTTAGTTGGCATTTATAGAGAGGCCATAGAGGAGGAAAGGATCAAAGGAGATAGCTTTTGTAGGCATCAAGGAAAGAAATAAAAAAAAATCTCAACTATGAGAAAATATCACACACCACAATCACTCAGTGCACATCCCACTCAGATCCTGAGAAGGTCTTAATCCATAAAACAAATTTTAGCTGTGAATCGAGGAGTCAAGGGGGGCCCATTACAGCTACAGCTGCCGCCTTCTCTCTGTGAATGGCTCCACTGTGCACACCTGCCCCATGGCCTTCTGGGGATGATGGTTAGGAAGAGAGGTTACATGACCAGGCAACAGGGAAAGCAGGGAAGGGGGTCCCAGGAGCCCCAAAACCAGAGCTCCCAGAGCGGGCTACAGGATAGGCTCTCTTGGTTGAGATGAGACTTCCTACCATCAGGCTGAGTCTCGACTCAACATGGGTGGACATTTATGTTAGGCCTGATCAGTGTATTTTTAAGTTAAAAAGAAAAAAGCTCAAACCTTGTTCGACTGCATTGATTGCTGACTTGCAGTGATGAATCTCATGTCCTCTAGTGGGGAGATTACTGCCTCCTGGGATTATCTTCCCTCAATTCAATCTTTATTGACTTCCACTGTATGCCAGGCACTGATCTATATAAGCAATGAATGCATTAAAATCTTTACTTAGTAATGCCTGTTAAGTTGAACTGAATATAATTCAATATACCACTTGGAAATTGAATTAGCCCCCCACATCGGATATGAAATGGTAAATTAAATATGATATGAACTCAGCTTTGTGAGTGCATATACATTTATAGTAAAGAGAAAAGCCCGTTTTCTGGTATGAGCTTGAATCAGCCTCTTTCTTTATGCCTGCTTAAGGAAATGAGAGTTCTACCATCACAGGCATTCCTGAACTAGATTCCAAATGAGGAATTTGAAGGGTTGGAGAATTTAGTGTGTCATCCTTTTTGCTCAGTCAGAAGCAATATTTTTTAAAGGCAAGCCTGAGCTCGGTAGAAAACAAATACAAAATACACATATCTGCATGTCTGTACACCTTGCCTTCCACTGCCAGGGCTGGAGAAAGGAGTGGCTATGTAAGAGAACCCACCTATTGTACTGTTCTAGAAAACCTCTCCCGAGCAGTTCATGGTCTCTTCTGGTTAGCACCAAGTTTTACAGATATCTGATTTGCTTTAAACCATCCAGAAAGAATTCAACCTCACTGCTTTGCCATTTACTCATTTCTTAGAACTTGCTCCAAGAAGGGTAACTTGGGAATTTGACCTAACTCTGAGCCACTTTGTTATTTTCCCAAAGGACCCCCAAGATGCCATTCCCAGAGGGACCATGCTGGCCATCTTCATCACCACTGTGGCCTACCTGGCGGTTGCTATCTGCGTGGGTAAGTTGTGTATCTCTGGGTCAGAATGACAATAAACTCAGTCACTTTCCGAGTCTAGTGGGCATCCAGAGGAACGCAACTAGAAAGGTTTTTAATTCCTTTCTTGTTAATGGTTTGACTCATTCAGGGGTCTCATGCAACTGAGCTGTACAACTAGCATCTCTGGGTCAGTGCTACAGTAAAGTTAATTGGATAGTGGTCCTGCCCGAGCCTCAAGAGGTCCCCATTTTGCTTCCCTGGGTCACACCACTGCTAGGAAAGCCACACTTCCAGTGCCTGCCGAGGAGGGAGGTAAGGAATAGAGCAGGCAAAGAAACAAAAGATCAAGGCACAGTGAAGCAAGCACTTGGCCTTAAGAAAGCGGGAAAGATGTGGGGCTTACAACAGCATCTCATCCTTGCACTGCTGCCCCTGCTGTGGAAATGTCACTGTCACCGGCCGGCAGGAAATCAGAACAGGGCCCGGCTGCTGGCAGTGTGGGCAGTCAGCCCTGTACAGCTCAGGGAGTGGGAGATATGTCTGGCTGCTCTTGAGGCCGCCTCTGGTCCCACCTGCTGCCTGCAGCCGCATCTCTCCCTGGTTGGAGGCCTCTCCTCTTGCTTGTGCCATGGCAGGAGAGGAGGAAACGCAGCTTCCCAGCCTACAGAGAAGAAAACCCTCTTCTGTGCATGCACGGCAGGGTGGAGTGTGGCAGAAGTCTAGTGACCATTTCAGAGAAGTGTGGCTCGAGGTCATCCTCTGCTTATCGTAGAGGAGATGGTCTCTGGTTGAAAAAAGAAAATCAAAAACCAATAAACAGATTCTTGCCTACCTCACGGCTTAGTTAAGGCTGTTAAATGCCTTGTTGTATCATTTCTAAGTCTAGTTACGTGTGAAGAGTTTCTGTTCCCATGCTTTAAGACAGGAACAGAATGACATCGAAATTACCTCAAGTTAAATTTCTCAAGTAGCTTATTCTTTTTCAGACATAAGAAAGATGAGGGAATGAGCAAAGTTATAGACCTTATTGCAGGGATTCTCCTGGTGTCGTCGCCAACCCATGGGTAGAAAATTCATTGACATAAATTAGCAACGTAAAGAGGCAAACCTAGAAAGAGTGGTTTTGCTTAGTAATCACCAGGCGTAATTTTAAGAATTTTAGTAGAGGCCAGCTGCTTACCTCTCGGGGCTATGACACAAGGATTCCTGCGCTGATTATTTATAAGATTCTCTTTCGATTGAAAGATGCTATGATTTTTAAGTCTTTCCCAGATTCAAAGAATGTCAATCCCACAACTAATATGGAAGATTTCCATTAGTTCTTGCTTGTGCTTCCTGTCTTAAAACTGGCGTATTAGCAAGGAATGAGAACTCACTGTGGGTGGAGTTTGAAAAACAAACTAAGTAACTTTTCTGGTTGGCATTTAGTTTGTAAAATATTTCTCCTTAATGTGGTTAAAAAACATACATATAAATATATATATATGTACAAATAAATATGTATATATATTTCATGCATATATTCATATAGTCTAATAATTCAATGCAGTTCAATGTCATTTGAAAATACATAGCTACAGACATTACAGTAAAAAACTTATAAGGAAAGTTAATGGTTATATATCAAGGTTCTTTTATATGTTCATAATTCCCAAGAATCCATACTATAGAAATATTTAAAAACACAAAACAGTCCACACTCTGGGGCCAGATAGAGTCCAGTGGTATAAGGGCCTGCCTGCCAAAACGCAGGGTCTTGAGTTTGATTCCCAGTACCCCATGCCCCTCCTCCAAAAACAGACTATGCATGAAGATGCTCATCTTAGAATGCTTTATAAATACTAATAGTCAAATGGGAAATCTTAATATTTTCTCCCAAATGCGATTCTCCCATTTTAATATTTTCCCCCTAAATACTGCCTATATTATGTAAGCCATTAAACTTTCATATAAAGTAGAATTACAATGGTACTTTAAAAATGATGCCAGGGGTTAGTTGAACACAAGGGCTAGAATGGCCCTCTTTGGTTCTCACTAGATAAGAAAACAGACCCTACTCACTTGAAAACACATGGGCTGGCAGCACCAAACCAGACACGGGAAACGCGATCCTGGTCAGCCGGGAAGGGCTTCCAGGGCTGAGGGCTGGGACCCAGATCCTCCTTGCTATTGAGATGGCATCCTGGGACAGGTAGGGGGTGCTCCCGAGCTCAGGGCACCATGTCCAAGAAGCAATGACCCTTAGCACAGGCTAGGCACAGGCCTGATCAGGGTAGAGTCCAGCTCAGTGTGTGCACAGCAGAAAGCCCAGAGAGAGCGTGCAGAGCCCTTGCATTGCAGAACTGAACGGGCCCGGTTGTCCCCACAGCGGCCTGTGTGGTCCGAGATGCCACTGGAAGCATGAATGACACCATTGTTTCCAGCCTGAACTGCAATGGGTCTGCGGCCTGCGGGCTGGGCTACGACTTCTCTAGATGTCGGCACGAGCCGTGTCAGTACGGGCTGATGAACAACTTCCAGGTGCGTGCTGCCAAAAAAAAAAAAAAAAAAAAAATCTGTTGCCATTGTTGTGCCCTAAGCACCCCTTCTCCAGGGAGCCCCCAAGTCTGAGGCCAAATGACTTGAATTCTGTCTGCATGTGAGGGACAGTATGGCTGGGGTGGGGACACAACACGTAGCAGGAGAAACGGCACCCTAGGAGACAGAGCACCTCCTGGCACTGTGTCTTTTGGTGACTTGTACAGGATTCCATGGTGGCAAGGAGCAGCTTAGATCAGCCCATCCCGTGGCCCTTGGCCTAGGACAGACTGCTGCGGTGGCCTAGAGAACCCTAAAGACCAGAGCAAGAGAGAAATCAGGAATGAAAAGGGAAGGGAGGTGACAGGGAAAGGACCTTGGAAAGAGGAAGGGTTCCACATGGACTGTGAAGAGAAGGGCAGGAGGTGTGGGGTAGGGTCCCCACTCATCTGTGCCACCACCAGTGCAAAGAGATTAACTCAGCTGAAGCTGTTATTCAGAGCAGGACTGAAATGGGCGGGATCTCCTCAGAACTCGGAACACAGGGAAAGCAAAGGTTTGCTTGTAGGTTTGCTGTGGAGGAGAAAGAAAGGCTAATGCTTTTTTTTTTTTTTTAATTTTATTTAAGGAGAAAAAAGAAAACAGAAAAAGGGTACAAATTATACAGAATTTCAGAAAAAATAAACAGTAGGAAATCACTAGTTAATTACATATTGTCACAGAAATAGTTGTTGAAGTTACAAAATTAAAGCGTATAGAGGGGACTTTCAAACAGTGAGACTGCAAACAGTTTTGTTCAATGACCCAACAAAACTCAGTAATATGGTTATCTATCATACACTTAAATATATATGCAGTTATATCTTTTAGAGAACTTTCTTTTCCTTTCTTTTGTACAATGACAATTACACATTTTGGGTTTTATTACTCCCACAGTTCTTATTACTTTTTTTTTGAAGAAAGTAAAACCAAATGTGACATACCAGGACAGAGTCAGTCAAATCAAAAGGATGGACATAATACATAATGTAAAAACAAAATACAAGGTGATCAACAGTGGTTACCATAATGCCTCTTGTTATCTTAAAAAGAATTGCCTATATTATCAGTTATAATAAAATTGAACAAAACAGTAAAGAATAATACCAATAAAACCAAAACATTGGAGACATTAGAGGACTTCAAAAGAAGATAATAGTCCACCAGAATGGGTGTCACAATGAATCTTACTGTCTTCATAGTTGTTGCCTATACTTTCAAACTTGGTACTATCTAGCATAACAGAATAGAGGAAAATCAGTCAAAACAAGATGGTGAGAGCAATACAGAGTTTCAAATCAAGTTAATAGGAAATCAAAGTGGGTTACTATAATATATCCTGCTATTTTTTATTTATTTTTCCCTTAATTAAAAGGATAAAAATGAAAAAGTAGATAATAAAAAGGAGATTGAGATAAAAAAGAGGGCATAACAACAAAACAGTGCAGGTCAAAACATAGCCATTTAAGCAAAATAATGTTTCACCACAGGATAATCTCGACATAATAGTAGTTACCATAGTGTCTCTTCCCTTAAAATCTTTGGGTATAACTTTGTATACTGTAGCATCAAACATATCAAGACAATGTAAAACCATTCAAGAGAATGACAGTATTACAGGGTATTTAGAATCAACTAACAGAAAATGAACAATGGTTTCTGTATAATCTCCTTGTCTATAAAAGTTTTAGTTTATATTATCACATATAATAAAATCCAATAAGATACAACAGGTTAAAAACGATGGAGACAGAAGAACAAAAGCTTGATGGGACTTCAAAACAAGAGGATATTAAATCAGCACTACCTATTATGATGTCTTGTTTTCTCCAAAATGGCTGTTCCTACCATCCAACCTTCTCTGTCTCATTTCTGTTGAGTTCTTTTTCTGTCATTAGTTGTCAATTTGTCCTCTTCATTTCGCTTTCTGCTCCATTCATTGTGGCCGCTCTGCCACTGTTTCTGGAATCTTGGTATTTTTCATGTTTAGAATATCCTGCAGTAATCTCTGTAGAGTTGAATTGGTGGTTGCAAATTCCCCTAGTTCCTCTTTATCCTGGAAGCACCTTGTTTTTACATCAATTTCTAGGGACAGTTGTGCAAGATATATCAATCTTGGCTGGAGGTTATTATCTTTCAAAGCTTGAATTATTTCCCCCCATGCTCTTCGTGATTTGATGGTTTGTGCCAAGAAGTCTGCTGTAATTCTGATGGGTGTTCCTTTGTAAGTGATCTGTTTCTTGTCTCTGATGGCTTTTAATATTCTGTTCTTATATTGGATTTCTGGAATTTTGATTATTATATGCCTGGGTATAGCTCTGTTTGGGTTGTAGGTGGCTGGGGTCCTGTATGCCTCATACCTCTGAGTATCTTTACCTTTTGCTAAATTAGGGAAATTCTGCTGGATTGTTTCTGTGAATAGCTTTTGTAGTTCATTTGTTTGAGTCCCTACTTCTTCTTTTATGTTCTTAATTCTTAAGTTATAGATCCTCTTATCATCTTCTAGTCTTTGTATTATTGCTGTTTGTTTTCTTGTTATTTTTAAGAAGTTTTTCATTTCATGCTCCCACCTTACAAATCTGTCCTCCAGTTTTGATAATTATCCTTAGTTTCTTTCAAACTGTTATGCCAGCTTTCAATAGAGTTTTTAGTTTCCTGGTAATATCTGTGAACCTGCTTCACATATTCTATGTTTTCTCTATTTTCTCCATCAAACAATTCTCCCCTTTTTTTTTCTGTTCTTCCATTCCACCATCTGTTTTTTCTTGGGTGGTGCTTAGCATTTCTCTGACTATTATACTTATTTCTTGCTTTATTTCATTAAATACTTCGTTTTTTAATTCGTCTATGAGGCTCCGGAGATACCGCTTTAGGTCTATAGGTGCCGTGTCTGATATTGCATGTTTTCTGTCTTCATTCTCTTTTGCATTTACCTTTCCTGGATCAGTGTTCTCAGGATTGGGGACTGAGGACCCTTTCTTGTTGCTCCCTTTCCCATACTTTTTGTTCCTTCCATACTAGTGTATGTAGGAGGCCCAGTTTTTTTTTTTTTTTTCTCTTTGTCTGTTACAGTTTGTTTGAATCCCCCCGCTAGGTGTTCCCACCCACTGCAGTGTACTAGGGAGACACAGACCTGGGCAGCCTCTGCTGGGCCTGCCCCTCCAGGTCAACATACTGAATGCTTCACTGCTAGGGACACCACCAGGCGCAGGGACCTGATTTGGGCTAGCCTACTGGATCTTAGTCTGTGGCATCACCAGTCCAAGTGCTCCCCACCACTCCCGCTTGAGAGGGGAATATGCAACTAAAATCACTGCAAGGCCCTGTTCCGGCTAGTCTGCTCGTTCCCAGCTTATCCTCTGTTGGAGCCTCCTACTCTATGAAAGGGTCCCCATTTCTCTCACTCACCGCAGGTTGATGCAGGGCTCCCTGCCAGTTCCACTCTCAATGCCGTTTGGTTCGCTGATTTCAGCTCTCAGAGCTTTTGCACGTCTCTCTCCCTGCCGTGTGGATTGGGAGGCAGTATCGGCAGCAGGAAATTCAAATCGCAGCTTCCAATGGCGCGGGATCCAGCTTCCATGCTGAAATTTTATCTGTTCCTGTTATAGCATCAGGATTGCATTTCCAGTTGGTTTCTCTCAGCTTAGTTCATTCCTGGGTCGGCAGGGTACATCTCCCCTTGCGTAGGACTCCTCACACGGCATTGCTCCTGGATTCTAAACTGGTAATCTCAGAGAGCCTCTGTGGCTGCTGTTATTTGTCCGCCATGTTCTCCCAGAAGTCCTCGGCTAATGCTTTTAAAAGACTGGTAAACACTAAGCCCCTCCCCAAATCTTATTAAAACACTTTCTTCTGGATAGAATTTCTTACCATCAGAGAAACATACGACCGCAAAGAACAGACGGGTAAACTACGGTCAAAATCCTTGAAACCATTCCGCCTCTGTTTTTTTCTGTATCTTGTAGACATATTTTGGTGAGCGCTTGTTATTTTATAAATAACACAAAAATTCTATAAAACAAATATTAAGAATTTGGAGGCTGATGTGCTCCCACACATGTGTGCACGCGCACACACACACACACACACACACGTAAACCTGGCTACCAGGGAAGCTGAGGCAGTAAGATCATAAAATTGAGAGCAACCTAAACAATTTAGGGAAACTCTCTTAAGGCGGGGGGGGGGGGGAGCGGGGGAAGCAGTTTTCAAAGGAACAGGGATGTAGCTCAGCATTCTCAGGTCGGGCTCCAGTAGAGGGAAAGAGAGAAAGGGGGAGAAATTAAGAGAAGGAAAAAGAAAGGGAGGAAGGGAGGGAGGAGGCAATGGAGAATGAAACAGGGAGACTATTTCATTCCAAGCAATTGGCTTATGAAGTATGTCAGTCATCAGCAGTAGAGAGGGAGGCATTTGCATATCTTCAGCCATCTGCTCTCCCATGCTTTCTCCTCAGGTCATGAGCATGGTGTCAGGGTTCGGCCCCCTCATCACTGCCGGAATCTTTTCGGCAACACTGTCCTCTGCCCTGGCCTCCCTGGTCAGTGCCCCCAAAGTGTTCCAGGTAAGACCAGCCCGCACACCTGCACTCCTCCTGTTCCTATGGCTCACACTAAGACTGCTTCTCCCCCGCCCCCTATCACTTTCCATCCTTTTGCAAAACCGTTCATGTTTGCATCTGACTCGGGCGCTGTCTGCCCACAGTAGAGATCATTCAAATAACGCAAAGAAAGACACAGCACAGGGTACACACGGGCCTCATATGGTGTACCACTCCATCGTCCCCCAAAGCTCCTTGGTAGAATCACCTACAGAAATGATTGTGCACAGATATAAATGACAAATTCTTCATCTTTTTTTTCTATTAGGCTCTGTGCAAGGACAACATCTTCAAAGGCCTGCAGTTCTTTGCAAAGGGATACGGCAAAAACAATGAACCCCTGCGTGGATATTTGCTCACCTTTGTGATCGCAATGGCGTTCATTCTGATAGGTGTGTAGCCCTCTTGTTCGCACCGGAAACCGAATCATTGTTCTCAGTCCTCACGCTTTGTCTTTCCATTTAAGATGTGAGCTGTCTCAGGTTTAAGATCCTGCTGGGGAATCCTGGAGTCTGTTTAAGAAGAAAATGAGAAATCCTTGAGCATTGCGGGTCTTGGGGGAACCTGAGGGTGCTCTGGACTTTAATCTGGCCTTTGCACAGGAAGGTTAAAAACCCGCCCAACTGTCTGCAACCCCGACTGCTCCAGAGCTGTCCCCACCGCCACACCTACTGGCCTCGTGCAGGGTAGAACTGAACATGTACCCATTGCTTGGAATGTGGTTGGCTGACCCTGGACACAGAACCACTAGTGTGAAAGTGCAGGTTTTTCAGGATCAGCTGCAGAGTTACTGAGGCCGGATCTCAGAGGAGAAGGCACCTGCCTTTCTCCAGCTCCTCAAAAGCCTCCTGCACCATTAGCATTGAGAAGCCCGCACCTAGACTGTAATCTTGGCTTCTTCTTCCTAGGAGGTGTAGACACAGCTCCATGATCTCAGAAAGACAGGTTCACAGCCATAGCCTACACGAGCCTTTCCCCTCCCTGTGCTGGGTGAGGAGAATTTGAGGAAAAGAAGCCAAAGGCAATGCCATGATGGGAACTTCCCATGGGCACCCCAGTGCCAAGCATGAGGGCTCTTTATCACCTAGGAAACTCAGAAAGGGACCATATACAGAATCCCCACAAAATTTCTATGAGGTTAAAAAAGGAAATATATAACTCTACATTTCTTAGGTTTTTTAAAAAATTAACTATAAGGGATTATATATAGAGATGTACCAATCTGCTACATTTAATTTATACAAGTGTATAAATTAAATGATATCCTTTATGGTCACTCTTTCAAAATGTGAATTACCTCCATGGACGAGTCTGATGGCAGTTTCTGCCCATTTCCTACTGGTTTCTGTCACACCCTATTGCCACCTGACACCTTTGGTGTCACTGAGGTTGAAGATGTCTGAACTTAAGACAAATGCAGGTATCTCTGTATTTCTTCTTTATGGCATAATAAGCAATCTATCTGGGATTGAGTTGTAGTGGATATTTGGCCCCTGAGGGCTAAAGCACTTTGATAATCTTTGAGAGGTAGAACTACCCAGAGATGGGGAAAAGTATACAGGAACAAGAGCCCAGCACTCAAGCAAGAACACATCGGTTGTGTGTAGAGATTTCCAGTTGGGAGTTTCTAGTGTACCAGTGTTTAACTAATCTGTCACCCTGCGGAAACTTTTGGTTGTATACACAGCAGAACACAGATGTGGTGCCCCCCAAAATGGCAACAGGAGAGTTTATCATATTTTCAGTCTCCAACTTTTCTCCAACTCCCATGTGAGTGTTTAGTGGGTTGAAGACTTGATTTTCTATTTTCTGATTTGCAGGTTTTCTTGATTCTCGCTTTATGAAAAACTTGGTTCAGGATATATATGTAGCTCCAAAGAAAAATCACTAACTTCTTAAACCTTGACAGATGTTAGCTGTGTGTTCAATTTCCAAGGGCAGCCAAGCTCCCAGGCTGTACCAGCTGTTCAGCCCCCGCTTCATCCCTCACATGTACATGTTCAATTCTGTTCCCTCACAGCGGAGTTGAACGTCATCGCACCCATCATCTCGAACTTTTTCTTGGCTTCGTACGCACTTATTAATTTCTCCTGCTTCCATGCCTCGTATGCCAAATCTCCAGGTAAGCTGACATTTCAAAACTCAAATAAGCCTGAGCAAACAGTCAGTTTGTCTCGATAAAATGAAGTAAGCCGGTGAAAAGCATTCCATCCGTGTTTCTGTGTTTCCTTTTCTCCCGATGGGCAGTGTAATCCACTTCCTGCTACTGGTGTGGGGGCTGGCTTCTGAAATAGAAAGCAGACCATTTGAGCAATGGCCTTTTTGGCCAACCATAAAGTCAATTTTCTCTTGTGGCAATAAATTATTCATTGCGAGAGAAACCACATTTATTTCAGCAGTAGAAAAACACCACTATTTATTTCCAGGGCGAGAGTGACCACAGAAGTGGAATAAATGTATGTATTTGTGACTTCCTTGCTGTCCGTTTGCTTCCTGCCCATGGTGTAGAAGAGAAGGATGAGCAGCTCCCATAATTACCTGCTGAGCACAGCTCTTGCTGGTTCGCCCAGGGCCCATCACGTGGATGTTGGGGTCGCTGGGGCAGTTTTGGGGCTGTGATTTAACATCATTCAAAATTCCACACCCAAGAGCCTTCCTCTGGGTAGTTATACCGCATTCCCTTTGATTCCATTGGATCACAGGATTTCTTCCACCTTCCCTTCAGAGTAAAAAGAGTCTGCTTGACCCTTAGAAAGACCCTCGTCCTTTCATGGAAGGTGATTCACCACCTATCAGAGCCTGCCACCACCCCATGCCTCCTTTGGAGATCTGGCTGCCAGCCAGATGACATACGGATGGAAAGGGAACCTCTGTCCACCCAGGGCTACAGAAGATAGCACAGAACTTGGGGATGAGTTTTGGTATTGTCTCATGCTCTCTCTCTCTCTCTCTCTCTCTCTCTCTCTCTCTCTCTCTTTCTGTTTCTCTCTATCTCTGTCTCTCTCTCTCTCTTTCTGTTTCTCTCTATCTCTGTCTCTGTCTCTCTGTCTCTCTCTGTCTCTCTGTCTCTGTCTCTGTCTCTCTCTCTCTCTCTCTCTCTCTCTCTCTGTCTCTCTCTCTCTCTGTCTCTCTCTCTCTCTCTCTCTCTGTCTCTCTCTCTCTCTGTCTCTCTCTCTCCTTCTCTGAAAAATCCAGCCTTGGCAAAGTGTAGCATATCCAAAGATGTTCCTTAAGTGCTATTTCCATCTTGTGGCCATTCAAGGAAATTTTTCCTGAAGATCTTTGAAGTTCTATTATATTTTGTCAGCCCCAAATTTAGGATGTATCTCATCTATAAACCAAAGGTGTCCTCCAAATTAGAGCTTCCCTGTCCTACTTGTTCTGTCTCCTAGCTTCTTCTATTTCAAGGAACCAACAGAGTAGGGAAACCTCCCATATAGGAGGTATATGGGAACTGTGAGAAATATTTTCATTACAAAAATGCATGACATATTAATGCACTGGGTTTGGAAGCCACTGCTAGAAAATTTCACCTTTTCCCAAAGATACTTGTCTTCCTGGGATAATGGGAGATCTACCAAGGAATTAAGCCTTGAAAAACAATAACAAAACCAGGGAATGAGCCTAAAGATCCTGAGTCTGCATGCCAGGAGAACACCTGTTACCCACCTCCTATAATGAACTGCCGGAGGAGGACCATCGCGTGGACAGCTTTCTTCTCCATCTCGGTGTGTTTACTTTCAGGATGGAGGCCTGCCTATGGGGTCTACAACATGTGGGTGTCCCTCTTTGGAGCTGTGCTGTGCTGCGCCGTCATGTTTGTCATCAACTGGTGGGCAGCGGTCATCACCTATGTCATTGAGTTATTCCTCTACATCTATGTGACGTATAAGAAACCAGGTAAGATGAGGTCTGTCTAGAAGGGTTTCCAAGTATCTCTCTACCACTTTGGTCAACACTTATTGGGCAGCCTCTTTGTATTTAGGTGGGCCATGCATGTTGTAGAGAGAACTAATGTAACATGGTGTAAGAATAACAATGTTTTGCTACTATGAGCACCTATTACGCGGCTCATTAAATCCTCCCAATTATGCTGTACTGTTCATTAGGTATTAGTAGTTTCAATATAAAGATGAAGGAACTGGGGTTTGGAGAGTGGACCAGCTTGCCCAAGTAACTGTCCAAACACAATAGACTTTAATGCAAACCCCAGGTGCTTTCTCCTAGATCAGTCTTTGCCTCTAATGTCCTAAATGAGACAAGTTCCCATCCTCAAGGAGTTACAAACCCATACTTAAGCAATTAATTATAACAATATAGCTAGCACTACGAGTGTAATATGAGCAAATTGGTGAGGAAAGGAGAAGGAGAGAGTAACCTTGATGAGAATTATCCAAGAAAATTTCCTTGATTCATGGTTGGGTTTCCAGGGCCCATCCCGCTGTAGGAACTTAAACATTTGTTGAATGAACAAATGAGTTTTTAAAAAAGAAAGCAACAAGAAACAATTAGGAGATGGTTTGTGGGACCGAATCAGAGAATGAGATTCGAGGTAGAGGGAAAAGCAAAAGGATGTGCACAACTGCCTGGTATATCTGGGAAGCCTGGAGGTGTTAACTCTGGGAGTTTCGGGGTGCTATGGAGAAGGGGCACTAGCTGAGCCCGCAAGGGTTAAATAGGAAAATTAAATACTACAAGACAGAATCTGACTACGGTGAGCACCAATGACCAATGCAGGTCATTAAGCATAATTGGACTTTGGATGTCACCTTTAGAACCAGTGGGATGGGTGGCCTGAAGCTGGGACTGAGCAGGGCTCAGCCAGTGGGATGCAGAAATCCCCTGCACTGTGCTTTCCTTTAAGACTGTAGGAACTTTGAGAGTGCTTTGTTGTTTTTCTTCAGAACTGTCCATATTTTTTTGAATACTGGACATAATTTGCATATAGTAGAAGTTCACCCTTTATGGTACGTGGTCTCTGTGTTTTAACAAACCCAGACAGTCCTACGGCCATCATCATGGACAAGATATGGGTGATTTTCATCACCCCAAAAAGTTCCCTCATCCCCCTAGGTAGTCAATATTTTCCTCCCAAAACTTAACTTCCGGCAGCTGCTTTTCTTATTTCTCATCCTACAGTTTGTCTTTTTCCGGAATGTCACACACCGAACTGTGTCTAGGTAGCCTTTATGTCTGCCTCCTTTCAGTTCTCACCAAATTCATCCAGGTTTTGCATGTATGTCTTTCTTTCCTTTGTACTGTTGAATGGCATTCTCATATATCACAAAATTTTAAAAATAACTCACCAATTGATGGGTAGCTAGATCGTTTCCAGTCTTAGGGGCACTATATTTAAAATGACTATACATAGTCACATATAGGACCATCTATGGACCTGTATTATTATTTTGCTTGGGAAACTAGGAGTAAGACTTACGTTTACATAGTAATTGCACAATAGATAAGCCTATAATATTATATATATCTCAATAAGAAGCTATTGAATTGTGTTTCATACCATCAGTATCACTTTCCATTCCCACCAGGGTCTCAGTGCTCCTTATCCTTGACAGCTCATAGTATTGCTGTATAAAAGGTCTTCTAGGGCTGGGGATTTAGCTCAGTGGCATAAGCAACTTCCTGGCAAACATGAGGTTGTGAGTTCAATCCCCAGCACCAGAAAAAAGAAAAAAAAGCTCTTCTAATGAAAGTGAACTGTAGTTTAATTTAATTTACATTTTCCCAATGAGTAATAATGTTGAACATCTATTGCCACTGCCATCCATATCCACATGTCCTCTTGAGTTGTGTGTTTAAATGTTTTGCTGACTTTTTCAGTTTTTAGTCCTCTTAGTATTCAATTGTGAGAGCTCTTTATATATACTGGATACAAGTCCTTTTGTGGTGTATGTTTTACATATTCCTGCAGATCTGTGCCTTCTATATATATAGATATAGATATAGATATAGATATAGATATATATTCCTGGGCCAGTTGTGGTGGCACACGCCTATAATCCCAGCACTCAGAGGACTGGGGTAGGAGGATCACTACTGAATTAGAGGGCAGCCCCAGATGACATAGTGAGATCTCATCTCAAAAATATTTATTCTGTTACACTTTTGAATAGAAGTTACTCATTTTTATGAAGTCTCACATATCTTTTTTCCTTTTGTTTTCTTTTGTGACTTAATATTTTGCATCTGATCTCAGATATCCCTTCCTAATCTGAGATAAAACCATCTAGAAGTTTTGATGCATTGGTGATTATGTTAGCTTCTAGTGTCCACTTGGAGCTAATTTTTATATATGATGTAAGGTACAGTCCAAAGTTCCTTTTGTAAAAAGTCCAATCAACCAGAAGTGTTTTAGCTCTATGAAAACAGGCCTCCCACATGCTCATTTTTGGGGGCATTGTCAACACTAGATCAGCTTTTTATCTCTATATAATTACCCCCAACTCATTTTCCTGGCTCTCCAGAGAAAGTCGGGGAGCATGGACCCTGTCTGTCATGTGGAATAGATGTGTATATTCGTACCAGGGCCCTCCTCACATAAAACTTAAGGCTCCATTTAATGTCAAAATTTGTTTTTTTTTAAGGTAAGAATGATAGTGCTGGATTCCCACATTATGAGCCTTAGGTTCTAAAGGGTCAAACTAAAATAGTTGGTAAATGTCCTTTACCTTTTTCGTGGATATCTTGAAGGGTCCCCGAGGTCTTCATTTTGCCTTTACGAGTGCGGAGGTGAAGGCACTCACCTCACATATGGAAATCCCTCTTTTACTTTCATGAATTCAAGAAGCGCCCTGAGCATAGTCAGGAGCTGATCCTTTCCCTGTGCAGTTTCCACTCAGCCTCTCCCATCACACAAGGTTCCCTGGGCTTCCAGGATCAGCCTTGCAGTCTGAGCCTTTGCTGGAAAGAAGCCTGCCTCCTAGAGAGTCACGTTAGTTTTCCTGGAAGGACGCAAGGCTGTTTTTGGAAGCACTATATTTTATTTCCTCTAATTTGGGCACGCATCACTGCTTGCATGGCCAAGGACAATCATAGAAAAGAGTGGCTTGTAAGGATTGCTCAGGGTGTGCAGAAAAGGCCCATGCTTCTTGTTCCAATCTCCTCCTGCGTCCACAGATGTGAACTGGGGCTCGTCCACGCAGGCACTTTCCTATGTGAGTGCTGTGGACAACGCTCTGGAGCTGACCACGGTGGAAGACCACGTGAAGAACTTCAGGTAAGTTTGGCATCTCAGACGCCCTGGTGTCCCACATGAAGAGTAGCTTTCCCTTGCGGGACGTGAGTACATGAGAGTGGTGACAGGCTTGGTGGGCATATTCCCCAATAGCCACGTTTTCAGCACAGCACTTCCTGTAAATGAGTGCTACTTCTGTCCACCCAAACCCCTGCTCCTCACAGTGCCAGGTGTCACCTCCCTTACACAGAGACAGAGAAGTGACACAAGTGACCTTTTTCAGAGGGATCTATCCACTCAGCTTGAGACTCTGTGGCTTGCTGATCTTCTTTTATGAGAAGTAATGCTTTGTGCCCTTTGTGAGTTCCATCTTCTCCTGAATGGGGTCTCACACATGCTTGCAGGTTCTGCTCTGACTTGGGGTGGTACAGTGTCCAGGGAAAGAAGACAAAGGGGACCCAATATCACCTACTGTTAACACAAGAATGGCAAGATGGATGGGCAATGTGGTTCAGGAATTCTCCTGAGAAATGCAAGAAATAATCAGAGGAGAGGCCAACTCTTTCTGCCAAGCCTTCTGCACCTTGACATGGGGGCAGTGGCTCTGGGCCTATAGCTTACTTATGATGGCCAATTCTCTTCTCTTCTTTACTTTCAGGCCCCAGTGCATTGTCCTAACAGGGGCACCCATGACAAGACCTGCCCTCTTGGACATAGCTCACGCCTTCACCAAGAACAGTGGCCTGTGTATCTGCTGTGAAGTCTTTGTGGTAAGACTCACCTCACCCACGGAAAGTGTTTCTCCTCTTTGTCCACCTTGGTTATTTTAGGTGGGCAGAGAAGGTCCATGCAGTAACAGGAAAACAGCAAAAACAGTTTAGAGAAGGGCCCTATCCTTGGTTAATAGAGCAAGGACCAGCAAGAGCCCATGACCTTGAATTTAAATGGATAGATGGATGGATTTCCAATTCTGAAGACCACTGAAAGTGATAAATATCTCCAGTGATAAATATCTGGGAGTCAAGAAAAACAGAATTGACTCAGAAATAAAAGAAATTTAGAGTGATAACTATCCACAAATTTTAAAAGGATGGGACAAGACAGATAGAGTGCTATTATATAGTTAACTAATGAGGAGAGACCTAGACATAATAGCCATAAATGACAACAGTACATAGTGGTTAGATTAAATATTTGGCTAACCCTGACACTACAGACATCTAGAGAATTAAAGTCTTCCATCTTTCCGATAAACAAAGCTACATGAATTCCCTTTTGTTCAGGAAATATATGCTTGAATGATAACAATATATTGGTGGTTTTCCTGAGAGGTATTCAAAACAGGTGCTAAAAACATAACCATAATTATGGACCAATTTTTCAAGTAGGGAGAAGCCATTGAAATCATGATTGAAAAGGTCTACATCTTCCAAAATAGTCTACCACTACTCCCGTTCATCTCCCCCCCCCTCAGAAATCCTTATCTGTCAATGTATTTGTACAGTACTTAAGTGCTTACATATTTTTCAAAGCATTTTCCTATGATTTTTCTTATTTTATCCACACCCAGCCTGATGAGGTGGAAAGGAAAGAAGCCCTGTTCTCATTTACAAATTGGGAAATCAAGATTCAGAAATCTCACACTGGGTCATATAACAAAAATATGGCCATGTTAGGGCATCCTGAGAGCACCCCGAGATAAATCAGGTGCACCCTGGGGTACACAGCAGTCAGACCCAAGTATGGGCACCTCCGCTGTCTGCCAAGGAAGAGACTGCCGGGAAGCCCTGTGACCCTGGGGCCAGTTAACCACGTGACAGTGCAGGGCTAGTTTACCTCGTGGCATCCCGAGTCACACCTCAGCATCACTTTACCCTGCTAAATGCGGATGAAGGCAGGCGGGCATCGCGTCTTGTCTCGGGGCCCAGACAACGACAGTAACTCAAACAATAAAACAAAATGCAATTACCCCAGAGCGGGTGGAGAGACCGCTGTGGAATACAGGAGGCTGACGGGTTAAGTAATGGCCAGCTGGGGCTCCGGAGGATTTTTGAAAAGCTTATCAAGAACCTTCTCTCGTATTATCAACTTAGGTGCCCGGGATTAGTGGATTTCATTTTGGCCAATATGAGAGAGGAGCCGGTTTTGATGGAATAAGCAGTTTGGGGCGTTTTTCTTCTCCAGCAATTTAGAGAAAACTTAGTTTAGCAGGCAATAAAATGTCTTCATACTGGAGAAATGAACTGGGCTTATAAACGGTCGTATATTGGTGAGGGAGAAAATGTCTTCGAGACAAGAAATATTGCTTTTAATTAACTCTTTGTTGTTTACGTGTGAGTAAAGGAGGGTGACACTGGAATATCATTTCATGTGAAGTAAATATCTCCACCCATGACCCTAGTTGTGTGACAGGTAAGTGGGATGACATCATATGTCAGTGGAGTGGTGACTCTGTGGAGGTCCCAAGTGTCTTGCTGTCATGTATGCAGAGGCTGTCTTGGGGACAGAAAACTGTTATCACATCAGCTAATGACTGATTATTTCTGGGGCAGTGTTTTCAGACTCCAGGTTCAGTTGCCAATCATCTTTGCAAAGAAAGCTTTGGAAGGAATGTGGTGGAGTCAGCACACTGCTAGACTGGCTGACAGGGAGCCAAGCCTGGGGAAGGTGTTAAGTCCTGAGCAGAAGGAGGAGGAGGAGGAGGAGGAGGAGGAGGAGGAGTGTCGGGGTCGCTCCCGGCCGGCAGGAAAGACACACGACAAAGTCTGGCGGTGTGCAACCTTGCCTTTATTTGTCTCCACGTGGGCCCCGCGAGGCCTCCTCTCTGCCACCAGCCCTTTCTCGCCGGTGGACTTTTTCTATCTCTCTCTGTGCTTCCTCTGTGCTTCTCTCTTGTGGCGGGAGAGGCATTTACTTTTATAGGGTAACAGTGGCCAATCAGTTCAAAGCGCGCGATGCGGGCTGATTGGCTAACATCAGTTGTTGCTAGGCAGACTATCTTACAGAGCGGGTTGTTTAAGTCGCCAGCACAATCAGGGGGCAGGAAGCAGGCGCCAACTTGACTCACTGGATGGGAGGGGCAATCTAGCTCAGGCTCCGCTCCCACCCACAGGCCCTACGTCCGCCAAGTAAGGCGACCGGTGTAGGCGGCTCCCAACATCTCCCCCTATTTTATTTACTTTGAATGAATGTATGCATCGCAGCCCGCCCTGGATCGAGTGCAGAGGCTTATGCCCTGTGTTGAGGCCCACCGTAGGCCCTTGGCTTGGACCCTGGTCGGCCGCCCCCGGGTCTGCCAAGGCCTTGAGACCCTCGTCCTTTTTCCAGGGCCAGGAGTGAACTGGACAGAACCTGGATGCACATAGGCATGCACTCATGCCCCTCCGTGTCATCCCCTCGGAGAGGCATCTAGATCTGGGCAGATTCTAGTAATCCAGCGGCTTTCGTGCGCCATGGGGTAGGGCCTGGCTTAGGTCGAGTCATGCTGGGGAGGCACGCTCTTACCCGTCATTGACTCACCTACCCTGCTGTGTGGTGTCATTAGGGAAGGAATGCGGAAGACCCGCCACACCTAGACCCGGTCGTAGGCCAGTCGAGCGAGCCATGCGTAAGCCTGGGGGTCATTGTGCCCATCACGGGCTGCTGCCAGGGCCGCATGGGCAACCAGGCGTACTTGACGCCAGGCCGCCGCAAGGCACCCATTAATAAATGATGTAACCCATCGGAGCAAGAATGGTCCTACAAGTAAGAGCAGAAGCAAGGAGCACAGGGGACCTAACAATGGTAAAACATAGGGGAGCAAGCCATTCCAGGCTCCCCAAAAAGGGATTGTCCTGCAGTTCTTTTAGGGCTCATCTTGTTGTTGGGTCTGCGGTTGGCCTCTGGTGGAACAGGCCTGATCTTCAGTCGAGGGACTTGTCGCGTCAACCTCTCTGGGACCCACAGTGGTTTTCGTCCCGATTCCTGCAGAAAAACACAAACCGCGCCTCGGTTCCAGCTAACCACCGGATCCGGGCCCATCCATTGTCATGCCATAGATAACCGCGCCTTTGGAGGCAGGCCTTGGCTTACTCCCCCTTTTTATTTTTTATTTTTTATTTTTTTTATTTTTGGTCTTTTTCGTTTTTTTTTTTTTTTTTTTTTTTTTTTTTAATCGGTACCAGGGATCGAACTCGCGATTGCCTGCTTACAAGGCAGGCGCTTATGCCGCTGAGCTAAATCCCCAGCCCCGTTTCCTCAACCGGCGTTTTTCTCAGCCTGCTCGGCAGAGTAGCCACCCATGAAAATACCGTCCGCCCCGCGGCGCAACGTAGGACGGCGATCGCGACAGAGTGGAACGGGGCGTCACTTCCTGTGCCAGCTGAGAGAAGGGAGGGTTCCCTGTAGCGGCCTCTCGGCGGGGAGCCGCTTTTGGAGAAGAGCTCCAGGGCGGAGCGGATTGCTCTCTATCTCCTCCCCGCCAGAGAGCGCTCGGGGGCCCTTTTTCCTCTCTCTGCTTTTTTCGAGCGGCGCACGCACACAATTCGCGGCGCAACTCGGCATAGGAGTCAAGGCACGCATGTATCATTTCCCACAGGGGGCGAATAGCCGGCGAAATATCGCCTCCCAATTCCGCCGAGGCGAGGTCCCCGCCTAACTTCTCCCATGACGGCAGGTTTAAATGCCCCGTGGGTAAAAACCAGGGAGCCACCCTATCTATCTCTGATATGAATAGTTCCAGTGTTTTTTGACCTACCCTGAGGTCTCTAGCTTTTAAAAGCTTCCTAAGGGCCTTTACCAAGGGCCGCGCCTCCGCGCTCGGTAAATTACCCATCCTCAACCTCTAAGGGCTGTAACTCACCGCGTGTGACTTAGAGAACCCGTCACCTACGCGTGAGCCTGAGGGGAGTCTAAAAGCCCTGTAGGTGCGCGCCACCCAGAGCCCAGGCTTATCCCCAACTCACCTGTCCGGCAGCACCACGCTGGAGCGTTGCACACCACCGCCATGTCTCGGGGTTGATCAGTCCCCGTGCGGGTCACCAAATGTCGGGGTCGCTCCCGGCCGGCAGGAAAGACACACGACAAAGTCTGGCGGTGTGCAACCTTGCCTTTATTTGTCTCCACGTGGGCCCCGCGAGGCCTCCTCTCTGCCACCAGCCCTTTCTCGCCGGTGGACTTTTTCTATCTCTCTCTGTGCTTCCTCTGTGCTTCTCTCTTGTGGCGGGAGAGGCATTTACTTTTATAGGGTAACAGTGGCCAATCAGTTCAAAGCGCGCGATGCGGGCTGATTGGCTAACATCAGTTGTTGCTAGGCAGACTATCTTACAGAGCGGGTTGTTTAAGTCGCCAGCGCAATCAGGGGGCAGGAAGCAGGCGCCAACTTGACTCACTCGATGGGAGGGGCAATCTAGCTCAGGCTCCGCTCCCACCCACAGGCCCTACGTCCGCCAAGTAAGGCCACCGGTGTAGGCCGCGGCTCCCAACAGAGGAGGAGGAGGAGGAGGAGGAAGATGAAAAGATGATGATAAGGAGAGGATGGCAGTTTGGGTTTTAACTCTCTGAAGCCAGTGCTTCCAGGCTTTTAAGAGTAGCTGGAGTTCTGAATCCCTATTTTGTCACCTGTTAGATGCAAGTCTTTCGGGCTCATGAATAAGTCTCCTGTGACTCCATCTTCTCAGTTATGAAACGAAGCTAATCAAAACAGCACCTGTGGTATAGGTGCACCCTGGGAATTATGTATGAGCTTTCAAGTCCTTGGCTGAGTGCCTGTCAAGTAATAAACGATTAATTT